ATATATCTCTGCATGATATATGAAATATCATATATATTCATATATCTCTGCATGATATATGAAAAACTCAACAAGATACTTTATTTATTTGTAGGACTTATATGGCTGCCTATCTCATATGATGACTTCACACTTTATATTGCAATCAAAAGCCACAACCACCACATCTGACTACAACATTTAATTATTACTGTTGCCTTTTAGATGTGCTACCGTACAATTCCCATAATCTTCAGGTAAGTATATTGGGAGTGTAATTCGCTATATCTGAAAGGGCATGACATGGGAGAATATCAATATAGCCCACAGACCCACTTGATCAATAGCTGGGTTCAGAGAACATACTGGACCAAAATACAAGCCACTGCTCAGTATATTGTGCAAATTCATTCAATATGCTTAGTTTATGGTTGGGAAAACCCAGACAGTAGAATTCACTAAACCATGCTTTAGTTGACCATGGATTTAGTGTGTAGTCCTTAGAAATGCTTTTTTGGATATCTACTTTGATTAATACTAAAAGGTGGATTAAGGGTTCACTGCATGTGCAGATATACACACCCATATACTTAGCAATGTGCTGGGTGGGAGAAGTAACTCATATGGCATCCCCCTTCCAAGTAGTCCTGGACCTTCTTCCTCTTAAAAAAAATCCTGCAGAGTAAAGGCACATTAACACTTATTTTCATCTAGTAAACTGCTTCTGGAGCTGCCTCACTAGAAAGAGAAAGAAGTCCCAGCTGCCTACCTTTACAGTATTAGGTTTTCATTCACGCTGGCAGCACTCTCTCTGAGAAGAAACAAGTAGAGAGGCTTGTGATTTAATTTTCCCACCCAAATTCAGTCCAACACACTTGCTAATCAGCTGACCGGCAAGTGTCCTGAGATCAGAAAAGAGGGGAGAAAGCAGAACCTATGTATGGTGGGAACTCCACAGCAGTCTCTGAAGGCTTCTTGCAAGTTGCTCATGCTTGTCTTTGGGCCCACCAAGTGATTCAAGGAGCTCACCCGCTGCTGTCTGAAAGGTGGCAGAAGCAAAGTTAAGACAAACTACAGTATCAGAGTAGGTCTTACCTTGCTTCGCACTTCCAGAAAGCAAAACTGTTATGTGTAACACCACACACAAAGGATGGAACAAATGTTATCCTAAAGTTGAAGGCTTTAGTGCTTCTAAAGGTGGAGGAGCTTCTGAGAAGATACCCAGGTAACAAATGGGAGGGATGTTCTACTGTACTTCCTAAGTCTTGGCCTGACAGCCCCATTTGGTGCCCTGTAGCCACCACCGCAGGCAAGCAAGTCCAGCGTCCTCACCTTGCGGCAAGAAAGAAGGCAGGTTGCCCCTGGAGCTCAAAGCCTTTCAAGGTGCAATTTCTAAATTCGGGTGTCTTTTGAAGGGAGCGTCTCCTGGCTTTGGAAATCGCTCCCCGCCTCGGCACCACCCGTGAGTCCAGGTTTTGGTAGCACCTCGTAAGAGCCAGGCAGTTCCCGCCTCCCGGATGCAACGAGCAACGAGGGAGGAGGCGGGGGAGCGAGCCAAGGCACGGATGGCCGTGCAAAGCAAGCACGTCGCCGCTGGTCGCTCTGGGTGCTCGCCAGAACTCCACCGACCTGGCGGCTGCCTTGCGCACCGCCCTTTGGGCCGCAATCACAAGCGGCTCCCGCCGACTGCGGCCAAGGGCGGCGCCGCTCAAGGGCCTGCGGCGAAAGAGGCG